CAAAGGAATCTGTATTTGCAGCCAATAAGGAGATCACAGGGAATAACTTGCAAAGCCTTGATTCCGAGAACAGGAGTGAGTGGGTTCTTTTGATTTCGTATTTGGGATGAATATTCAGAAAGGGAGTTTTGTCATCCCTTGTCAAGGCAGGGGTAAGGTGGGTCAGCAGTCTGAGAGCACAGGCCTATACAGGCATCCTCTGCTCTGTGAATGGGGCCAGTGCACTTCCTAGCGAGAGACTTGCCCAGGCTCTGCTCTGTCTGCACAGCTGCTGCGGGTCCCCTCAGCCCTGCTCAGGAAGGCCCCGTGTTCTCACACTCGGTGTCCTTCTCTGTGAAGGTGTGTGTCTACACTGCAAGCTGCTGTTCACACTCAGCACCCAGAGCCAGCCTGCCTCCTCTGAGCAGCACCGCCCTCCCCCCCGCCCTGCCGTGGGGACAGATTCCCTCTGCTCTCTGCTCCCCGTGTCTTGTCCTCAGCTGCACAGAAGTTCACAGGCTCTCCTGGGTCAGGACTGCACAGGTACCTCCTGCTGGACACCACTGCACGGAGGAAGCCTGAGCAGGGACAGCACACCAGGACCTCTGTCCTTCCCTGGAGAGTCACTCTCCCATGGTGGGAGCACAGGCATTAGGGAAACAGGTGAAGGAGAGGCTTGCCAGCAGTGGGAAAGGAGAGATTCTTCCAGAGACCAAGACAGGGCGCTGTGAGACTGTATCTGAGGGTTTCTTCAGGCAAGGGTCTCCCAGCAGGATGGTCCTCCAGTGACAGGAGGCCCCAAGGCCAGGTCCCTAACTTTCAGTGGGGAAACGGCGGGTGTAACCTCTTTGAGCCTGGATAAGTCCCTGGACCTGGGCCTGTGTGTGATCCCAGCAGGTGCATCCTCCAGGCCCACCAAGGAGAAACTAGTGCATCAGGAATTCTCTGAGTCCTAGGGCCACAGACCTGGGAGTGCACAGCAGGGAGAAGCAGGGGTGTGTCACATTAGCATGAGCAGCCCCTCCTCTGTGAGGCCCTTGGACAGGGGATAACACAGGCCCAGGGCAGCCCAGCCCCAGCTCTGTGGCCTAAGAAGGGGCTGTGTCACCATGGCCTGGAGCCTTGTCCTCCTTGAGCTCCTCACTGCACAGGTGGGGACAGGTCCCAGTGCCCGAGGGCGGCCCCCCAGCCTGAGTCAGGTCGCCTGGCTCAGCTCCTCAACCACAGGCACCCAATCCCTTCTCTTCCTTCTGATGTGTGTGTTTGCAGGCTCCCTGTCCCAGCCCGTGCTGACCCAGCCGCCCTCCCTCTCTGCATCTCCGGGAACAACGGCCAGTCTCACCTGCACCCTGAGCAGGGACATCAGTGTTGGCGGCTCTAACATCTACTGGATCCAGCAGCAGCCAGGGAGCCTTCCCCGGGACCTGCTGTACTACTCCTCAGACTCCGATAAGCACCAGGGCTCCGGGGTCCCCGGCCGCTTCTCGGGCTCCAAAGACGCCTCGGCCAATGCAGGACTTCTGCGCATCTCAGGGCTGCAGGCCGAGGCCGAGGCGGACTCTCTCTGGGCTACAGCTCACGGCAGTGGGAGCAGCCACCGCTCCTCACAGCGTCTCAGAGAAGGAGGAAGTGAGACAAAAAGCCCTGGACCCACAGGCCTTGTCTCTGAGTGTCTTTTATTGAGAAACTTCTGTGGAGGCTTCTGTAGGGGAGTGTCCTCTGTGGGGAGACCTGTCTTTGCAGAGGAAGGACAGACACACAGATTATGGTGTGGCCTGAGCCAGCACAGGTGTCCCAGTAGAACACCTGGGTGACGGATAAAGCCCACCTGCACATGCTCCAGGGTCTGGGGTAAATTAAAAAC